AATAATTTTTCGTGGTATTTCTATCTTTTTTTTTTTTCTATTAATTGATCGTTCAAAATTATTGTCTCACGAAGAGAAAAACGCAAAACAAAAATAGAGAACTGAATATTGATTGAAATAACAATATGCTCTAGTGAAAAAGCCAGAGATTGCCTGTGCCTGAATAGAAGTTACAGTTAGGTGAGCTCTGCACAGTCTTCCGTGATTACCTCTACATTTCTCTCAATTCCACATCAGATTAACAATGGGGATGTGTTGGGAATCTAATTGAGTAAAAACACAGTTAATAATGTAATTTAATCATTGTGAAATTACTAAAAAAAATTCTTTTAAAAAAATCAAATAGAAAAAAGTTCGTTTTACATGATGGAATTTGATAATTTATTTTTGTCAATGAAATTTTTAGATTTATCGTAAAATAAAGAATTTATAATTATATATGTAAAATTGTAACTACATATAATAAAGTTGAACAATATTTAATAAATATCTAAACATAGATTTGAAAATTAACTTTAATTATCAATATTAAATTTAGTTTTCTGTTTCAATGCACTATAAATAAACTGTATTGATCAAATATTTTTTTTCTGCAAATAACGGATATATATTCATAAAATACTAAATTCCTTCTTTAAATATTTTTTATAGATATAGAGAATTAGATTGATCGTTTTATACGTACAGGGACTTATTTCATCAATGGAATCTATTTTAATGTCATACCATAAATTAAATATTAAAGAATTTCCATTCGATCTATTTAATCTTATTTTCGAGTTACTATTAAAGTTACTATTTTTATACATTCGTGTAATTTCGTGTACGTGTATATCTAGATTGATTTGATCTAATAAAAATGATTATTTTTCTCGTAATTAACAAATTCCAGACTAAAACATTTTATATAGATATGTTTATAATCTTAATATAATTAATATAAACTATGTCATTTGAATACTAGGATAAAAAAAGTAATTACAATTATTCGGATACTGAATTAAATAGAATTTGTTTTTTTAATACTTAATTCATTATCAACAATGAAAAAGTATCCTGCAGAAATCTTTACTATTTCGTACCATACAAAAGGTACTTAAATAGACGAATTGAGAAAAATGCAAATAAATACTTTTGTCTAATATTCAAAATCTAATATAGAATTCTTCGTAAACGATTACAGTGAAAAATTGGAACGAAACGGCAATTTCACTGTTCACGTGATTCTCTTCTCATTGTCAATGCTATTTGCAATAGCATCAACATGGAAGATTGAACGATCCCGGGAAGCTTTGTGACTTAAACGTGATTGTCGATCGTACATTTATTCACACACACACAAAAAAAAAAAAAAAAAAAAAAAAAAAAAAAAAAAAAAAAAAAAAAAAAAAAA